TTTTTTTTTTTGATAACCAATGCACAAAATTGCATTAAGAAAAAATGACGAGAAACAAAATACAATCAGCACACTCACGGAACATCTAAGGTTTCACATTCCTCTTTCAAACAATTTAAGAAAGAAGAAGGAATGGAAGTACCTTGAAGATCTTCCCAAACAAAAGAACCATCTACAGCCAAATTAGCACATAAGTTCGCTAATTTGTTACCCAACCTATTGGTAAAAGAAAAAATAACTTGTTTGAAATCAAGTAAGAAATCTAAACTATCATCAATTGCATTGCTAACCTTCCACCTTTTGATTTCTTTTTGGAGCAAATGGCCCCATTGAATTTACCAGGTGAAGATCATTGTTAATCATGAAACTCTGAAAATCTTTGGAGCCTTGGTTCATTTTGAATTTCTTCCCACCTCTTTTCTCCTCTTGAGATAAAATACAATTGAAATCCCCTCCGATAATCAAAGGAGCATCAACATCACATTGCCTTCCAAGATCTTCCCAAATGAATTTTCTTTCCTGCACATCTGTACTACCATAAACAGACGCGATTTTCCATTCACCTTTGTTGATCATTTTCAAATTACCAACCACCATTTGAGAAGAGTGCCTCACCACTGTAAAATCTGCTAAACCACAACGCCATAAAATCAACAAACCTCCCGAAAGACCAACAGCCGGGACCATAAAAAGCTTCCAATTGTCTCCCATAAGCTTCATAATTTGAGTATTTTCCACATTATTGATCCTTGTTTCCAACAAACCTACAAAGATAACACCGTGATCCTTGATCACCTCCTTAAGATAGAGAGCCGCCTCTACTTTTTTGGCTCCCCTACAATTCCAAAAAAGAAGACCACTCATTATTTAAAGATGGGGAAAGGGTCCCCAGCCTTTTTTACCTTCCCACTCTCCCCTTTTCTATTATGAGCAATGATATTACCTGCTCCCAAGGACTTCAGCTCCTTGCTTAATTTAGATTTCTTCTCCAAAGAGATGTCTTTTTCCAAAATAGAATTCTCCAATGAACCTTTCTTTCTTGCTGACAAACACAACTTTTTTCTTCCTTCCATTCCCTTACCACTAGAAATACCATCATATGGCGAACAGATAATTTCTCCTTCCTCTGAAACTTCCTCCCCTCTAACAACAGCACCTCCTTGAAGCACCTCTTCCTCCAGGTTGCAAAGAGAATTTAATTTGTTCTGGATTTCAACACCTCCATTTTTTTCAGGAAATGCCATAATAGGTGACCCCCTCTTTACAGTTGCATCCACCTCTTCAACCAGCAATGGATTCTTAAAAGGCTCCTGAACAGATTTCACCAAAAATTCCAGCTCTTCCAGCGAACTGTTACCTTTTTCTTCAATCACTTTTCCCTGAACCTGACCCCCCATCTTGGGGACAAAACTTTTCTTCATATGAACCGAGAACTTCCTATAAGGAAATCTTCTATCGTCCACGTTTCTTTTTACATTTTTTTTTCCCACGATTGACAACTTTCCAAGTTAACTCAGAAGAAGTTTTCTCCTCCTTTAAGCTTTTCTCACCCATTGTTTGCTTCATCACAACTTCCGGCACCATGTTAATATTCTGAACTACCAGACCATCTACCACCTTATTTTTAAAACTATCACAAGAAGCTCCCTCATGACCTGCCTTTCCACATTCACAGCAGATTTTAGAAATTCCCTCGTATTCAATCTTCTGCAAAAAATTTACCAGATGAACCTTCCACCCATACTCCTAAAGGCAATTTCAAATCTAATGGAATTCGGACACAAATAGGAGCGTATTCCCTTCTGCTCCACTGAAATAAGTTTCCATCCAGAAGATACGGTTTGCCCACTTGAGAAGCTATCCTACAAATGTTGTTCTCGTCCCAACATTGTAGAGGGAGATTAGGTAGCCTTATCCAAACCAGAGAAGTAATACCTTTGAGCGATGTGGGGTTGAAATTAACCGACCATTTATCAATACCAGCAACCTGTCCACCAACCCACCAAGGTCTGCCAGTGAGTACCTGATCAACTGCGGAGGAATCTTTAAAAGAGCAGAGTACCCAACCAAGTCCCAATCCAGTTATGTGGAATTTCCAAAATTTATCCCACTGTCTTCTTAAAGCAGAGCTAATAACAAAAAATGGTAAGTTTTCACCAAAAACTTTAACCACTACAGCTTTTTCCAATCTCTTAGCATTCTCAGCTTCCTTATCTTCCTGCATCTTCACCACCTTCCCATCTTTCGAAAGGATAGATCCCAAATCAAGATTATCAACTTTAACATACGGTTTCCTTATCATGCCGTATAAGCTTGATCTTTATTAACTGTCTCCACATCTGCTTTATTCACATTAGCAATTCCTTTTAAACCATCCTCTGGTTTCTGATTATCCTTTCTCAAAGACAAAACGTCATTCACTTTGCTGACATCCCGGGATTTAAGACACTCCAACTCTGCTCTGATAACTCCCCTCTCAGTAGGAGATGAAGGCAAAGATTTCGAGATAAAATCAAAATTCGAGGAAATCTTTAAACCTCTCTAAGAAGAAGCTTCATGATTCCAAGCCCCCGGCTTTTTAAGACCACCATTCGAAACCGGCGAAAAGTTAGAAAGGCTCTGGCTGTGTTCCTTGACAACATCTTTGCCCTTACCAATAACTGGAACAGAAACAACCTTTCCTTCTAACAACCCTCCCTCCTTGATCACCAATGGCTTTCCCTTAATATTTTTGAAATTCTGGTTAAAATCATCCAGAATCTTTGCACCCCCATTGAAGACTTCGGAAGAATCAAGAACTGGCACCGATAAACCCTTCCTGTAATTCGCCCACGCATCCTTCTTGAGAATGCGTCGTTGCTCCATTACCGATCTTCCAAGCCGCCGGAGTACAGGCCGTCCCCCGGCGACCACCAGCTGTAAAGCTCGTGAACCGCCAAACAGAAATTTGAAAATCGCTTTCTCACTCTAGAAACCCGCTCTTTCTCACTCTACTTTCTTGATTTTGATAACTTTTTAAAATTGCATAATTATGGGTATTTAAGGGATTTACATTTAAATTAAGTTCAAACTTCTTGGGATCAACTCTAAAGGTTAGGAATGACCTAAGAAAGTGTTTCCAATGTTTTGGAAATTTTTGGAATTTTTAATAATTTTTAATAAAATAATTTTATTTAATTTAATCAAAATTAAATTAGTTTCTAAATTAAGGTCCAATTGATAATTTTCTTGGACTAAAAATTTAATTTTGAAGAGCTTGATATATTATTTGTAATTTTTAGGTTTAATTTGGATTTTTTATAATTTTCTAAAATTTTTGGGGTTTAGCTAAAGGGGTAAATTTGGGGTAATATATTAAGTGACCTAGAAAGTTTTAAAAATTTTGGAGATGCTACTAAGTTTTAATGGTTTAAGTTTCATATCATTTGGAGGTGTATCCTAATCCCTAGAATTTCTATAAGTTCTTTTGGCGGGTCATTAGTTATTATCCTTAAGATTTCACTAGGCTAAATGGTTTCAAATTAAGTCTCATGACTAACCCTTGGGTAATATGGGCAGATGTAACACACAATTATAAATCATGTCTTTTGAACTAGGAGATGTCTAGGCTAAGTGCTCCTATATCCTAAACATGCGAATATTAAACACTAATTAATATGACTAATGACTTCATGAGTGAATATTTGAAGTACAATTATTCACTAATCCTTCCCCACGAATTCTATTAACAAGTCCAACCTATGTTTATGATTTCAATGGGATCTCTAAATTTTATAGATTGAAATATATATATAATTTTAAAATATAGATATATTAATCAATATATGAAAATATATGTTTTAAAATATAATATTTAAAAAATAAGTAATCAAAATAATTTAAAATATTTTTTGGGAGGTCCTTTAATTAATAAAAAAAATAAAAGTAAATCTTTAATTTTGAAAATATTTAACAAAATATTAAACTTTGAAGCCTCATGTAACATACCGAAGTGGCCTCAACTCCAAAAATTCCTCACAATTATTTAGGCGAAGGATTTAACCCTCAGTCCCTCATCTCGTCTACAGGAATTACACATAACAGTGAATGAAGCTTATAAACAAAGAAAATTTGGATTGTTACATAAAAGCTCTGTTTTGTTCTGTTCGCATGCCGATAATTTGAGTGCAAGCAAAAGAAATAGGAGATGAAAATTTCAAATCAATGAATATTGTTTCATAATCAATTCATATATGTATATCATTTCTTTTCCTTCACTTTCCTCCATTCAAATAAAAATAATAATAATTTTAAATTAAAATATATAATTTTCTAAAAACTTTAATATATAAAACTTAATTTTTAATTAGTATTATTTTTTTATAAATTTTTTAAGAAAATGAATTTAATGTAATTTAAAATTAATTTTAAATTAAAAAATTGATAGCAGGACGGACATGTGGCATCCTCTCATTGGTTGGAGAGGAACCATGTGGTGACGATAATTATTGGTAATGATTGCCCCACCACATAATCATTGTCGTCGGATTGAAAAGGTGGTGGGCTCTATGTACTTTTGACTTAAGTGGGTCATCACGTGCTACTGGCCGTCTGATTGTTCGATGTCTTGAGCGAACAACTCTAATCAAGTTGAACGGTTAATTCAATAAAAGTGCGAACCATAGAGTGTATCGAGAGGGTTATATGACTTGATCTTGATCCTTGATCACAAGATCAATTATTTTGAACTCGTCTAGCCCATGCATGCCCTGAATTGAGATCCATAGGCAAAAAAAGCCTCGTTCTCAAAATTGGCTAAATAAAGTTTGACAAAATTTTAAACACAAGTTGAATGCATGAACAGATGCTATGGGGATGTGATAGAACTTTTTATAATGCGATTAATTAAAAGTTATTTTAACCTGAGTGTCCTAGCCTAGGTTAGAGTTTTTACCTCAATTTAACATATGGATATAATTAGTTAAGATATTTTTAAATTTGTTGTATGTCCACGCTAATTTTCTCTTTAAGAACTAAGGATTAAAAAGCTCCCTATTAGATGGTGTAGCCCTTGGACGAATTCAGCTTAAATTCACCAAAAATCTCCTCGTCGGCAAGGTTTTGATTGCTGATTTGAGTGGGGAGATGTGGGGGAGTATCTAGAGAGCTAAAAAGAATGAGGGTTATGCTTGGGTAGGCCTTGGGCAAGAGGATTTAATATCCCCTCTAATGAGGCCTTAGGCCTCTATTTATAGCCTAAACTCTAGGGTGAACGACCAAGATGCCTCCTAGGGTTAATTAAGAGAGATCTAAGCTCTCTTGACTGTGTTTTGTGTTAAGGGGAAACTTGAGAGTGCTTAAATGCCATGTGGGTCAAGTATTTAACCTAAAAAGGTAAATTTTGACCAAATTAAAGTTGAATTGACCAAGTCAACTATTGTCTAGATCAATATGGTCAATCAAGCCCAAATTATGTAGGAATTGAGCTCAAGGGGGTTTGAAATTAATTTAAATTGAAATAGGGGTTACTTTAACTCGCCTGGTCAACTTAGGTTGACTTGGTCAACTAGGTTGACCCAAGACCTTGGTCTGGGCTCAATAAATTTGGTTTGACTTATTAAACCCATTAGAAGGGGTCTTAGGGTCTTGCTTGGTCAATTTAACCAGGTCAACCCTCTTGACCCTAATCTAGTGAAAAGTAAGGTCAACAATGAACAATTCATACTATACGATGATGTTTATACAGTATGATGTATTTAAAAAAACATATTTTTTACGAACGAAAAAAAATTATCATGTAAAATGAACTTATTTCGTACAATATAAAAGTGGTTCGTATAGTATGACTAGAAATTGTTTTCTAAAATTTGCACATGATAATCATGATTTTTTTCCAAAAATAAGTCAAACAAGATCCAAAAGACAAAGACAAAAAAAAAAATACAAAAGAGAAATTAAATCCAAAATAGAGAGAAAAACAAAAAAATCAAACAACCATAAATCACAAATAATGAACAAACAATACAAACATTAACAAAAATAAATAAATCTTGAATGCAATTTGCAAAATTATAATTGTCAAGCACGAACATCAATAACACCTAATCTGGTTCTTAAGGTGCTAAATATTTTAAAAGCACGTGGTTTTATGAAATTGTCTGGAAGTTGATTATCAGTAGCTATATGATGTAGCTCAATTTCTCCTTCAGTGACATGATCTCTTATGAAGTGATGGCTTATATCTTTATGCTTGGTTCTAGAATGTTGAATAGAATTCTTTGAAATGTATATGAAACTTGTATTATCATAGAAAAATGGAATAGTTCCAATTGAAAATCCTAAATCCATAAGTTATTATTTTAATCAAAGAACATGTGCCACACAACCACCTAAGGCAATGTATTCTGCTTTAGTATTAGAAAGGGTTATTGAATTCTATTTTCTTCTAAACTAAGGAACTAAAGAGTTTCTAATGAATTAATAAGTTTGAGAAGTACTTTTTTGATCAACCCTACATCTTATAAAACCTAAATTAGAATATTCAATGATTTCAAAAGAATAGCTTTGCATAGGATACCATATCCCTAAGTTTTGAGTTCCCAAAAAATATCTTAGAATTCTTTTAACAACAGTCAAATTGGATTCCTTTGGATTAGCTTAAAATCTAGCAAAAAGATAAACACTATATATAATATCTGGTCTACTAGTAGTTAACTAAAGTAATGATCCAATTATTCTTTTAAATTTCTTTTGATCAATAGATTTGCCTTTAGAGTCCTTGTCTAACTGCACTGAGAAACTCATTATTATGCTTATTGGTTTAGCTTTATCCATTTCATATTTCTTAATGATGTTCTTAATATATTTTGACTGATTCAAAAATGTGCCATCCTTTTTTCTTCTTTATGCTAAAATAAAGAAAGTAACTTAAGTCTCCCATCAAACTCATTTCAAGTTCACTACTCATTATTTTTGAAAAATTATTATAATGATTTATATTAGTGGATCCAAGCAATATATCATCAACATATATTTTAATAATTAGTATATCATCTTCTACTATTTTTAAGAAGAGAGTGGTGTCTCCACTTTTTTTAATAAATGATCTGTGTAGTAGGAATGTGCTTAGCCTTTCATACCATAGCTTTGGTGCCTATTTTAGTCCATAAAATATCTTTTTAATTTAAACAAATGTTTAGGAAATTGTGAATTATCAAAACCTGGAGATTGCTTAATATAAGCATCCTCTTGTATCATGCTATGAATAAAGACAATTTTTACATTCATTTAAAATAATTTAAAACCATTAAAATAGGCAATGGC